GGGGGGGGGGGGGGGGGGGGGAGAGGTCGGGGGAGGCAGTCTCGTCATGGATGGCGACGGCAACAACGACGCGACGGAACTTCTCAAAATTCATCGAGTGTCCACACTCAGTGGCGAGGCGTGAATGATCGATTATCGACATTTCTTCATTTGAAGCTGTGGTAAAGAATCGATTATCATGGTGTTCGTTGGGAACACCCTGGCTATCGATCTTTTTCCATAGATTCAAATGGCAGATCAATCGACATATCGCTGTCCACACTCCGCAGCGTGATGGTAGTGGTCCCAGAGGAATAACCCGCCATAACCCAAGCCCGAGTTGGGCGACAAGCGGCACAATTGTCACCCTCGTAAAAACTCCGAATCAATACGCTTCTCTCACGAAAATTATTCGCCTGCACCGCACAATGGGACGAGGCAGCGAGAGAGGCCAATTTGATTCGGAAACTTTAAAAGCCCGTATCTCAGAAAAACACACAAAATAGACGGATAAACAAGAAAATGGGCTAGCAAAGGCCGAAAAGAAATAAACAGAATGCCTGGGACGTGCCGCGGTGACTTTAACCTTCCTCACTCGACCAGGAGACCAGAAATACATTATTTCTAGAATGTATCCCACGTTTCTTTTTTCGGTCCTGATGTTGTCTTGAATGCAATTCTGTCGGACGATGATCATTTCGAACGCCTATGAGCGTTCATCTTCAGGTCAGTAGGAATCAAGTTCGCCTTCAACTCGATGGATGCAATTTGAGCGGCTCAGAAGTTGTATCACGCATTTTAATTTAGCTTGATGTCGGAACAACGAGTGACTATCTTTATAATCTTCTTGCTTTAAAGACAATCACAGCGAAGCGTCCAGTAAATTGTATTCGATTCTCCCCGCAGAAAATCCCCCTACCCATTCCAATGTTCGAAAACAAAACAGAAATAACTTTTTCGTTTTTTTTTTTCCTTCCTTCTTTTATCCTAAAATTTATGCGTCTTAACATGCTTAAGCTGTTAGCCTTTGTAGTTGTACTTAAATTTAGGAGGTCTGAGCTATTGTTTATGGGTTTTTATGTAACTCGCCGTGCACTTTGTCAGACTTCGTTAAAAAATGTTGCCCACGCTGAAAAAAAAAAAAAAACTCCGGCCGTGGGAGCCGCAATTACGGGCTATATAGACATTCCGTTCCAGGCTCAAAGGCCGAAAATTCCGGCTGCTGGAGGCGTAGCTTCGATTGCTCCGGGTTCAGAGGTCGAAGCTACGGCTCCAGCAGCCGGAATTGTCGGCCTTTGAGCCCGGAACGGACGGTATGTCTATATAGCCTGTAATTGCGGCTCCCACGGCCGGAGTTTTTTTTTCAGTGCAGTCAAATTTCTCAGTTTCTGAAAATTGTTCTCCAATGTTTTAGGAGTGGACGTGACAGCGAACCAAGACGAAATCTCCAACTACGAAACTTTCCAGCTGGAGTTCGACAAGTCAACAAGGAGGTGGTACATTCGCACCATGCAAGACCGTTACTGGACGCTAGAGACCAATGGCGGGATCCAGGCTGTCGCAGACAAAAGGTCCGCAATTTTCCTATCCACGTTTCCTTGCGCGCAAACGGAAGCCAACTCGTTTGTTGAAACTCGAGGGGTCCTATGGTCCCCCCTTGGCCTCCATGGGCGTTCCCTCAGAACAATGAAAAACCTGAGTCATAATTCAAAAAGACAGCGTGCTCATCTCTAGTATTGATTTGCGATGAACCGATCGATCTACCACTTAAACCTATGCAGAGTCCGCGCCAATTATGTGTACGCTTTTTCTGACGGAAGATCCGCCATTATGATTCTCCCTTTTACTTCCAATACAAAACTGACGTCACTCGATCGTCTGTCACAGTTTAAAAGTGTACAACTTGCTTTGGCGTGGGCTCTGAAAAGATCGAGCATTAGGGTGCTCACAACGAACGCCTTAACAATTGGACCGCGTTTAACATCCGAACGTTCGAAATTTTGAACCGTGTTCTTCCTAGATTATCAACAAGCGTGTAGCACTGGAAACCAAAAATCAATGTTTATGACCTCAATTCAATTCATTTTTCGAACTGAACGATTTGAATCCCCCTCACCTCATTTAAGGTAATCACACAATAAATTAAGTCGGAACGGAAATGTGAAGCACAGCAATGAAGGATCGCGATTTTGTAGTCTTGGGGACCTTTGGATTAAATTTTTCAATAAGGAAGTACTATCTCTGGCTCTCCCATAAAAGCACATATCTGCCCAGGGAAACCCATGGCATGTATGCTGTTTCTTAAATGGGCCAGAAATAGTGGTTCCTTATTGCAAAATGTGATCCATTTTGCCATCAACTTGCTTGTTTATCTTTACATTGGTCATGTTTTTAAAATATAATTTCCCGATTGTTTTCAGATCATCGAACGCTCTGTTTGATTTGGTTTGGCAAGGAGATGGATCCGTGGCGTTCCGAGCCAACAACGGAAAATACGTAGCAACGAAGCGATCCGGACACTTGTACGCCAACGCCGATTCTGTCGATGAACTCTCGAAATATTTCTTCTATCTCATCAACAGGTACCACTCGCAGCACCCTTTAATCACACCGTTCGCGAGAGAGGCGGATCTAGCAGGTTGTCAACCCTGGCTTTCCTCCATTTCTTGTCGGAGCGCTTGGAACCACGAAAATCGATTAATGGACCACTAGACAAAGTACGAATTTCAGCATACTGATTTATGTTCCTTATCCAAAATTACACGTAAAACGCGATGCGCACAACAAAAATTACCAAAATCAACTCTTTACGAAGATACTTAATGATTCTTGATGCGTGAATGCAAACCATCCGCTCACAACGCTCAATGCTCCACGTGATTCACATCGTGCGCTAAACGTTATCACGACAATCTTTGCGATATAAAAATCTGGCAACGTCGATCTTGACGCTTCGGCTCAGTTTTAGAAAATCACTTATAGTTTGAACAACGCATGATGGGAAATGAACATTGCTCGATTGAGAAGCTTGTTGAAACCGTTGTAGTGCGCGATTTGACTTACTTAGAGCTTTGAGTTTCTTGTGAGCGGGCAGTTCAAATTCCTCGTAACCAATGTGAAATAACGTTAATATCTTCGTTAGGAGTTGGTTTCAGTAATTTTCGTTGCGCAAATCGTGTTCCACGTGAAATCCTGGCTAAGGATCAAGTATCAGATTGCTTAAATTTGTACCTTGTCTAGTGTTCCATTTTAGTGGGCTTAAATGAATAGAAACGAACTTGGCCAAACCCTCTGGATCTGTCTCTAAAAGGGACCTCCGTTTACGAAAAATCTAAGCTGAGTCACTCATACTGGAACATGAAGGAGTCTACGTCCGTTTATCCCCAGTTCCCTAAAAATTCCCGTCAAATTCAGACATCCTAAGACCTCCGTTCAATACCTCTTTTGTTCGAAATCAGGTTCTCTAACCCTCTTTTCAGATTCTTTCGCTGCGCTAAGCGTTTTCGTTCAAAGTGCCTTCAAGATTAGCAGTAAATATCCGTATCTCAACATGAAATTGCGTACCTCCTGTTTTGAAGGCGTTTTGAGTGCTTCGATAAACGATCATCTTGACCCCTCCTTCCTCTACTAAATGGATGATTTATCTCACATTTTAAGTTTAAGCTATCAATAATGGGAAAATGAGGCCTCTAAAATGATGTTTACTTTGTAAATGCCACCAAAATTTTAATCAGCCTTAATCTTGCCAAGTGTCAAAACTGAAGAGACCCTCAATGCAGGTTTACTCTTCTGATTGCAGCTGTGGAAAATTTAAAAACGCTTGATATGGACTATTGTAATGATGCATTTAGGAGTAGATCTTAAGCTTTCCTGTTATGCTCAACGTGGCTTTCATGCAATTTCTTTCTTCAAAAGTAAACTGGGTTGTCTGTGGCTTTTACATACAACAGACCCATTCTGTTTGTAAAACCTTGAATAAATTTGAATCATTTTATTTTTCAGGCCAATTTTAGTTTTGAAATCAGAGCAAGGTTTTGTTGGAATGAAAAGTGGATCTGGCTTCCGATTGGAGTGTAACAAAGCAAGTTATGAAACCATTCAGGTGGAGCGCGGAGAGAAAGGAGTCGTCTACTTCAAAAGTAAGTTTTATGCGCAATTATTTTCTCTGTGTATGAAATGACAAATTTAGAGCGCTGAGTGGACTACTAGACAAGTTTAAGCATCATAATACATGTTTTTTCATCAAAATTTTACACAGAACACTAATCGCACAACAAAGTTACTGAAAGGCAATGATTTTTTTGTTTCTCTTATGACGTGAATTAAAATTTAAAACTGAGTCCAAACATTTACACAAAATAAACGGAGGATATCATAGAAAGATTAGTTTTCACAACCATCAGGAAGAACTAAATTAAAATATCACCGCCAAAGATGTCCATATTTCTCTCTGATCAAGACATTTTTCAAGTTTTATTTTCCGATGATCACTGAATGGTTTATTTTTCATTTCAGGTCAGAACGGAAAATACTGGCATTGCGACAGTGAAGGAGTTACAGCGGATTCCGACACTCCTGAAGGATTCTTCCTAGAGCTTCGTGAACCAACCAGAATATCAATAAAAAGCGCTGGTCCAAGCGGAGAATACTTGATTGCTGGCAAGAATGGAAACTTCAGACTGGGAGATTCCGATCACAATACCGCAACCAAATGGGAATACTAGACTACAATGAGCTTCGCTTTCAGCTGTAAAGATGTTATGAGAATATTCCTTCAGCCTTGCTCCTAATTTATTATCTTATGATATTCTGTTCCATATCATTTGTACTTTTTTACTATTTTCTATCGATTTTCATTTTAAGCTTTTTAGATAGTTTAAAACGTAAACTTTACTCATGTGAACTCCATTTCGATTTAATTACTGGCAGGCAGTTTCATTTTTAAGTGCCATGAAATCGAGAATCAAATGTCACTTAAATTAATCAATTTCCTGTCCATTTTTGTTTCTCTCATCGGTTGCTTTACCTATGGCTCCGTTTCTAATTTCCAGCATGTGATTCTTTTCTGTTTATACAACAGATCCTGAACTGGATGTAGCGAACTTTTTTTCTACTTATGAGAAAAGGATAACATCAGGAACTGAGAAATATTGAAATAATAGGAAACTTTCATGTTCACCCAGTGACTGCAAGGTGCTGTGACTTGGATGTAAAGAAAGTTTGCATTTTAGTTATCAAACATACCTACAATTTAACAAGAATTTTGATCAAATATCCCGGTGTAACAATGGAGGAAATATCTTTGTATTTAAGAAGTATGCAGTTATCAAACTAGTCGTTAGGATATCGCTGAAGTCTTATTAATTTTGTTGAGTTTATGATATGTTGAATGAATTTTTGTTTTGTGTTAAGAAGTCGTTATTATTGGGATTGCATTCGAAATCAAACTGGTTCAGCAAAATAGATTAAAGATATGTTGAACAAGTCGCTAATTCCAACATTATATGATTTGACAAACAGGAAATACGCCCCTTTGTGTGGTGCTTTTCTCAGCTTCTGAATTTTCATATTTTCTGGGACATTTAAAGTTCAGATTTTTCCATTAGGTATCACAAATTTTTCAACCAAGTACTATGTGCCCAGCAGCAATATTTTTAACTTAGCCAAATTGCTATCTTTGACATATTTGCAATCACAACGGAATGGGACGATTTAATAAAAATTCCATCATGATTCTCTCATTTGGACTAAATTGCTCACCTTGGTTCTCCCATCTTTTTCAATCTTTTCTCTCGAGACCCATTAGCAGTAATAAATCCATTTAATTTCCCACAAGAATTTGAATCATAAAAATTAAATTACTATCAACAATACAATAAATCTTGGAAAGAACACTTGGGGAAATAATTTACGATAGACTGCATCAATTTATTTATATCAGAAGTCTGAAATAAAAGAAATGGGGAACCTTCCATCTTTAAAATTCTGTTAAGTCTAAATTAGGATGGAGACATTTTTAGAGAAAAATTCAATGTGTAACTAACAGGAATACAGAAGAAAACGTGTAGAGGTTATCAATTCTTATTCTTTTCCTTTCCTAAGTGCAATATAATAGTTTTAGTCTCTTACTAAACAAGTCAAACCTAATGGTGATAATGTGATTTTAATTTCCTAATGCCTGCCGATGTGTGGCATGGATACTTTTTATTTTCCTAAACTTTCGGTATCTCAAAAACTAACATCTCGTTTAATTTAATTCCTAGAGCTCCCTATTTCTGCAGTACAATAGCTCTCGAGAAGCCTTCAAAATAGGAGGTATATAATTTCATACTAAGGTAAGCTTTACTATCGCATATCTTGAAGGCATTCTTTGAACGAAAGCACTCAGTGCAGTGGAAGAATCTGGAAAGATATTACTCTGTCGCACCACCTCTCGAATGCTTTCATTTTTCGAAGGCCACATCTGTAGAAAGCAGGGAGTGACATGAAACCAAAGAAAAATTAGTTTTTATTGTAACATAAAATTTATTTATTACAGCTAAAATTGGCTGCCATGAATTGAAAGTTCTATACATGAAGGCAAAATGTAATTTAACGATGACTTTGTATTTAATTATTGTATAAGTTGTAAGTGAATTCTGCCCCAAACGTCTGAGGTTTCCATAAATACTTAAAAAGATAAGGTTGAAATGAAAATCCTCTTATAGTTTTTTTCGCAGGGCAGATTTAATGATTGTTGGGATATAAATAGAGGAAACTAGCGTGACAAAGTTTATTATTTTAACAGAAAGTAAAAAAATTATGTAAGTGAAGTTTTAGTTGTAAAATGAAAGTAAGGAGGTCATATTTTGTTTAAAAAAAAAAAAAAAAAAAAAAAAATGCGTCACCCAAGTACATAAAAAACGTTTTTTTTTTATAGTGAAAATTAAATAACTTAGCTACCATTTGAAATGCAAAATGAGATTTTATGTTTCGATTTTCATATTGAAATTCTTTTATTGTAAAATGCTAAATTTTTGCAGAAAGTTGGTAATGTTATTTAACATTGGCTTGTAGAAGTCATTTTCATTTTTCTCAATAAATTTTTCTCCATTCAATTATTTTTCTTTTGCTTATATCATGTTGAAGGATTTTTTTTTCTCATTTTAATTTTAATTCGATTGAAAGCTATATCTGACTGTCATTGGTCTACTATACAGTATCACTGTCCTCTCAATCTAATCTTTCAAAAGTAAAATTATCATACCAAGCACACTCAAAATTGTCACTTATTTTACCGTATTTATATTAGCAGATTTAATTGTATGGGTGGAATTATCTGTTCAATGGTTACTCTTAAGTTTTTACATGCTAGAGCCCTTTTTAAACGATAAAATAATTTTAAATCTGTAATTTCGTGTACCAACTAAGGTAATTTTTTAAGCATTTTTGTATTTATGAACGCATTTATGTATACTTTTTTAATGATATTTTTTATAATTCGTATTTGATATTTGATATTGTATACTTTTGTATTTCCTGATAATAAAAAAGTTATAAACATTCATCTCAGTCAAAATTTGTTTGTTGCCTTCATAACTCAGGTTTATCTTCAAGCATAAAACAATCCAAGAGTTTCGAGTCTACTTGAAACTTTCCTTATCGCAATATATACCTTCCAGTACATTTCCTGTGTACCGCAATTTCTTAAATGGACTATTAGACAAGATAAGCATGTAAATACATACTGCTATACATATTTGCTCATCAAGAACTCATCTTTAATATATTTGTACTGATAATTTTTGAGAGGGCAACTTTCTTATCATTAAATTCATTCCTTCATAAATTGGACTGCGTTAAGCAGAAAGGAACCAAGTCACATCAGCCATGCCACATTTAATCAAGCAATTTGATTTTTTACATGAAAATGGTTTTGTAGATTTTTGTGCCAATTTCAATGAATTTTCTGCATACTACAAAGCAAATTCCTTAAAATTCTCAAAAGAATTTGCACGAACGTTCTCTCGTAAAAAATTAAATTGCCCAATCAAAGTTGGCCGCAGCTGATGTGGCTTGTTTCTTCTTTGCTAGACGCGGTCCAGTTACTTTACCAACTTTTTTGGCATTTTTAACGCCTTCCCCCTTTACGACGCCTTGGTAACTTAGGTCCAAGCTGCCTCACAAAGAATCGATTGTTTTACACACAAGTAGGTACATTTAAATGAAGAAAAAATAGTGTAGCCAACTTTCAAGAACTGCCACTGGTGCTAATGAGGACTGCGTCGTTTATAAAATTGAATGTTGCCGAGTGGCTTGTAAGGCCTTTTCCTCCCTGGCCAAGTAGATATTTATTTCCGAGAAAATATGATCCAATCAACTCATACGTAGGATGAAAACTTTTCCTTGAAATTTTCAGGTACAACTCCTCAAGTGCAAGTAGAAACATAGGACATAAAAATCGATAAAACGGAATAATATTCAGAATAAGTGGTGCATTTTATCCTCACATTTTAAAGCAATAACTCGAAAGTTTCAAATGAAGCTTGACAATATTTTTTCGTTAGGAAATTCTCTTTACTTTCTTGAACGTGCATTACTGTCTCTGAACCGAGGGTCGCGAGGTTTGCGGAAAGAGTGATCTTGCCTATAATTATTACTTGACTCGCCTTTTTAAACCCACTCTTTTTAAAAGTGTCAGAAATCAATTTAATTTGTTTCTGGCAGAAAGGCGTGCCATCCCTACTAGAAATGTTCTTGTTCCTTGCTATTTCCTTGGTTTTGATTTCTTTCATCCACGGCAAATTGCAACGAACTTTTTCCTTGCTTATGATTTCCTCGCCTGTGATTTCCTTGGCTATTACTGCCCTGGTTATGACTTCCCCGGCTATAATTTCCTTGCTCATGGTTTCCCTGCTTCTAATTTACCTGTGAAAATTATAGGGGTGCGCGTTCTCTACGTGATTTTGTTGGCACTACATATATAACGTCCTTTCAAATGTGCAGCTGCGTTAATACACCCAGGTGGAGGATCGTAGAGTTGTTGCTTACCTACCTTAAAATCCGCGTCGTCCTCGTCGGGATTAGAACCCTACCTCGGGATGGAGTTGAAATCCCCAGTATTTTACCACTAGACCAGCGAGGCTTGACATGAATGGGCCCCTAAAGTCAATAACTTGAACTATCGCAAGCCTCTGGGTCCGTAACCAGGGCCGGATTTACCTACCCGCCATAGGTAAACCTATCTCTGTGTATACAAGGCCTTCCATTTATAAGAAATGAACGAAAAAATTATTGAAGAACGAACAAATGTGGTTTAATAACTTTAACTTCCGCCGCCGCACCGGCACCGCGCTGTGTTTGACGTAATGCGTGAAGTATTCATGCAGTCTTGTAGGCGCTATGCGTGTCACTTGCGCGGCTTGCGTGTTACTTACTTCTTTCCGCATAATAACACTTGAAATAATTTTACTTACATATTTATTTTCGTAATGTCTCCTTCTTTAGCGGTTGTATATTCCCGGTGAACCAGTATTTCACATCCCTTCAATCATTTCCAGATGAATTTTCTACTTATGATTACAAAAGTAGCGTGATAAGTCAGTATCCAGTATAATCGGAGCTTACAACCCCTTGCCGTCTGACAAATGGGACTCAATGTAAAGCTTTGTATCCTTACACTCCTAATTTATACGACGAATCGACATTAAAATTCGGTAATTTTCATAATATCATTCAAGAGTTTCAGCTTTACTTAATGCTGCAGCACGTTGTTTCTCGACTAATTTTAGCGCACATTTGAGACCAACTGGATTTATATCTCACTTTTTATGAAGGGAACGGGCTCAGCGCCACAAGAGAGAGGGGGGATGGACCATAGACTAATACAGGCAACCCTAAAACGAACTGGATGGGTTTAAAGGGAAAAGATCCAAATAACTTTTGGGGGAAAACAATGAGTTCTCTCCAAAATCTAAGCGACATCTCAATGGCAGCACAGAGCAGAGCATTGCGTTGCGAGCTCACCATCGCGCCTTCAATTCTGCAGATGCGACACGGACATCCATCGAGTACGAATAGTTGTGTCTCTGCGCCGTCATCAATGCGCATCCTTTCCCTCGCTCTATTTCCACGTTTTGTTGGTTCTGTTCGTCTTATTTGTTGTGGTGCTTCGAGAGCTATGTGAGCAACATTCGAAGATAGGAGAAACGTAATCGGGCCTCGTTTTTCAACTTTTCTTTCGAACTTGAGCGACACCTCATTGGCAGCCTGGAGCAAAGCGGAGCATCCAGAGTTTACGCCTCGCGCCATGATGACGTATCTTTAAAGCAGTAATCATTTTTTGAAAGAAAAACAAATAAATAAAATTTTCCAGAGATGTCTTAAGCATTGCAAAGGGTGCACATCTAAAAATTTAACATTTTGGCGAGAGTTGTATTGTGCCGGGGAATGTTATTTTGACGACCATCCTTAGAAATCCCAAACCCGGTCGAATTGACCCGACTACCTCTTACACACGGAGAAAAAAACTTCGTGCGTGGGACCCGAAGTTGAGGTCATATGGATCTCTGAAATTTTCGGATCACGTATTTAAAAACTTGAGGTCGAGCTGCCGAAGTTCGGGTCAGACATCTGAAGTACTTCGATATATACCGAGGGGTTCGGGTCACACATCTTAAGTACTTCGGTACATACCGAAGTGCCTCGATGTCTGACCCGAACTTCGGCAGCTCGACCTGAAGTTTTCGGATGCGTGATCAGAAAACCAGAGATCCATATGACCTCAACTTCGGGTCCCTTGCACGAAGTTTTTTTCTCCGTGTAGGAAGTTATATTCAGCAGGTAAGGGGGAGGGGTGAGAAAGCACATGAAAATGTTACCAACGTGAAAATTTCAAGATAAGTATTTCTAACATTCAAAAACGTAGAAATAACATAGAGAACCATCAAAATCGATGTATTATGCTCTGCCCGAATTCCATCATACTCACTGCGTATCTTTTGACTCGCATAGTCAGTTCAGTGACATTGCTTTAATATCTTCTGTTGACCAGCATAGTCGTCAGGAGCAGAAAATGAGCCGCCATCGATGCAACAATGCAATGTAGGGAAACAATCGTGAGGTAGTTGTTACATGGCAAATTCCGAAGAATTATTGGAGTCACTGATTACCTTAATCCGGCACTCAATTCCCTTAGATGTCATATCGGGAGAAAAGAAGCGAGCGTAACTCTCTCGGAATGTAGCGCCTAGATGCGTTTAAGTGTGCTCAGTAGCCTCCGTGTTGCAACTATTGCACGTTTCAAAAATGAAGGCGTTTTAACTTTCTATACCCAGGCAACGCGAACTGCGCACTGCGCACTGCTAGGAAAATGGCGACGGAGTCTTCACGGAGTGATCGAAGACTGGAGGACAATTTTCCGATGAGTAACGGCCGCTGATAAGTAGACGCAGAGGGAAATGTAGCTACAGAGAAGGAAATAAATCTTTTTTGTACACAATTTTCGTCTGCGATTTATTTTCATTTGGAGCTGTCATTGAAAAAAGAAGTTTGGTCTTTTAAACCGAAGTTCAGTGATGCAAACCGAATACTATGAGGATGATATGGAAGGAACACGGAACTATTTGATTTGTAAATTAGACGCTTATTTGAAAGCACCCATGTACCAGTAATTTGATTCGCTGAATTCGTTAGTGGCATCAGAAATATCGTAATCTCGGTTGAATGTTCGGTTTCAGGAGGTCTCCAAAGTACCATGTTTGTGGGCCAAAAAACCAAGTTGGCCTTTCCAGTCTAATACCCCCCCCCCCCCCCNCTCGAAAAACATACGAGTAGTTCACGTCACTCAAGTTTGAACACTAGGAGAAGTTCTGCCGGGCTGAAGAGCGCCGTATGAGCCATCCTACAGGTCGTCAAGCGTTGCCAAATTTCCTCTGACAAATTACGAACTTTCAGGGAAATTCATAAATATTTCTCTTC